TATATTTTGTATTAGAAATTTACTTCAAATTAATATTGATTTCATCATATTTGCAACAATTTTCCTTATTTAATTGTCTACAATGTTTCATGACCTTGATATATTTATCTTGTCTATGTTATATTTTAATTTAAATGTTATGAATATTAATTTTTCTCTAATGAACATTAATCTTGTTATTACATTTATAAATCAATCTCCTTCAGGATCAATTATCAAAGGTTTCTCATATGACTTCTTATATTTCTTTAATTTTTTCTTATGCTATTTTTGGTATTGTCAAAAAGGGAGAAAAATTTTGTTTTGCATTAAATTGTTTTGTGTTTGCATTTGATTTTTTACCAAAGTGGCTCTAATTTTTTCTTTGTTCGTAGCGTTTTATATTTTTATTTATTATTCTCGCTTTGTGTGCACTTTATGTGTTTATAAAACTTAAAAATTTAAAAATTGATTTGTTCTTAATAGAAATTCTCTTATATTCACATGCTTATTCATTTAAGAGGAGTTAAGGAGAAATTTAGGATTTTCATTTTTATTCAAATAATAATTATTTTTCTATCATAAAAAAGGGGAAGATTGTTGAGAAAGTTGCTATTTAGTTTTACATGTTTGATATTCTTGTAACTTGTATGTTTTTTATTATTCCAAATATTATTGATTTGATTATTATTTCTCCTGACACGTCTTGAAAGAATTATTTTGCTCTTGTGTGTATTAACATTTCAGGAAAATCATACTCCGGATTGTTGAAGACTTCAAATCAAGATCAATTTAGAGTTTATTATAATTGGAGTCTATATTTTTCATTTTATTGAGTATGAGAGAGTGTGATTGTAATTTAGTAACTGAGCACACACACACCGTGGGAGAGTTTTAAAATTCATATTTTTAAACTAAGTGTACACTACGATGACAATTCGTACGGGATAATTCGATCAATTATTTTTCCCAAACGAGCAATGGAATGAACATAAATTAAATTATTTTTTCTAAGTAGGGTTCGTATGGGATGATATTTAATTTTGTACATGGACAAATGCATCTATTTTTTCCTTGCATGAAGATCGTATGGGACGATATTAATGTTCATACCAGGATGAATGTCTCTATTTTATTCTCACCTAAAATTTTTTTTCTAAGTCCTGATCGTACGGGATGATATTTAATTTTGTACAGGGACGAATGCCTCTGTTTTGTTCTTGGATGAAGATCGTACGGGATGATATTTAATTTTATAAAGGGATGAACGCCTCTATTTTGTCCTTGGATGAAGATCGTACAGGATGATATTTATGTTCGTACTAGGATGAACATCTCTATTATGTTCTCGCTCATTTCATCCAGATGTTTCGTACATATGAAATTTAATTTTCTAACTGTTCATCCCGGACAAACCCAATTCATACCAGACAATGATCGCATACGAAATGATTTCATACCGATTCATAATAGGTTCATATGCAATAGTATTTGAACTATTCGTATGTATGAACATATGATCATACAGGACGATTGTGTACGCTTTAAATTGAAACTTTCAATTTTTTGGACAGTTTTTCATATCTTTTGTATAAAAGGTCCACTGAAACTAACATGAGATAGTTTTATCAATGTGATTTTTCAAGTGTAATTGAAGGAGAGAGTTTGAGAGAAATTTCTTGCAAGTGGAGTGTGAAGGTTTCACAAGGTTACTCAAAGGTAAGGATCCATTTGCAATTGTGGATATCACTCTTCCTTTTATCTTTCTAGATTGCTCATGAGAAGATCTTTCGATAAGATCTAGTTCTTCTCTGACACTTGGGAAGTGTGAATGGACGACAGTTGTTTACCGACACTTGGAGAGTGTGAACAGCAGAAGGTTCTCTACCTACACTTGGAGGGTGTGAAAGGATGAAGGTTCTCTTCCTATACTTGGAGGGCGTGAAAGGATGAAGGTTCTCTGCCTACACTTCAAGGATGTGAAAGGACGACAGTTCTCTGCCACACTGCGGATTGGTGGAAGAGAGTATTGCAAAGGCTTCTTCGCCTTACTGTGGGAGCAAAATGAGAGCCACTTTGGTAATAGTGCAATACCTAAAGTGGGAGGCTTCAGGGAGTGGATGTAGGTCGTGTTTGAATGAACCACTATAAACTTTTGTGTCTTTTATTTTTTGCTACTTATTTTTCTGCAAGTTATTTATTATGTGGTTGAAAAGTTTTATTTTAAAAAATTTAATTAACTAGCTTCATAATTTTTAAAATCCAAGAAGTAATTTTTAAAATTACCAATTCACCCCGCCCCTCTTGGTTAGCCTTGGGACATTAGCTTAGGTTTAATAACCTAATCAAGATTTAATAAGATTTAACAAATATTCAGCTAATATGGCTCTATCAGCTTCTACCATAGTCTTACTCTGTTATTCAGCTACCTCATTCTATTGAGGGGTTCTAGCAGCTAAAAAGTTATGATTTATTCATTGTTCATTATAGTAATATTTAAATTTTTCATTTTCAAACTCTCCACCATAATCACTATAAATTATTGAAATTTCATGATCTAGCTTCCTCTGAATCCAAGTGGAGAATGTCCTAAATTTCTCAAATGATTTACTTTTATGTGACAAGAATTTAACCCAAGTAAACCTCGAGTAATTATCAATAATTATATACCTAAAGATTTTCCCTCCTAAGCTTATAGTGCGAATGGGTCTTGAGAGATCCATGTGAAGGTCTTCTAAAGGTTACCTAGTGTTAATTTCCTTGATTGAGTGGAAGGAGGATTTGACTTGCTTTCTTACTTGACATGCATCACATAGGTGGTCCTTAGTGAATTTTAATTTGGGTATGTCTCTCACTAAGTTTTTTTGGGTGATTTTTCTAAGATTTTTTATACTAGCATGACAAAGTCTTCTATGAAAAAAATTATGATTCATCAGCAACAATTTTTAGGTAAAGAGAGCTAGCAAGTTCATCATAGTTTAAATCAAACATGCAAATATTATTTATTCTTTTTTTCTTGTAGCACAATATTTCCATTTAAGATTATAATGCAGCTGGTAGATAAAAATTTAATGTTGAAGACTTTATCACAGAGTTGGCTTTTGCTTAGAATATTTTCAATAATGAAATGTTTTGAGTTGCCAATTATACCTAAGCTTTTATTCAAGACTTTAACGAGGTTCTTTTTTCTCATTCTTGTAGGCGTTGTAACAAATTAGGCGATTTTTGTGCTAATTTGGGTTGCAACAAGAGTTTTATTTGGGTAGAGCTAAATAATGTGGAAATCACACATTCCTTCTTTAGTATTTTAAAGGAGGAATGTGATGGATTAGAGTTGGGTTGAACTTTTCATTAGCTTGTATTTCTTTGATTTCATCTGTAATGAAATTTAGCATTTTAGTCAAAAAAAAAATTATACCTAACCTCACCACTCTCCTAATAGTGTTATATCCAGGTGTCACCTTTCCTCCTATCCTTGCCTACTAAATGAATTTATTTGCATCTCCAATCATGTACCTTGAACATCCATTATCCAGGTAGCACATGCTCTCACAAGGCTTTCTATGAGAGCATCCCTACAAAATCATCAAAGGTTAGATTTAGGAACCTAAACAAGTTTGGGTTCCATCTTATGAATCGAAGAATGAGATGTAAGCATGCTATGCTGTGATATAGGAAATTTTTTTATCCACACCAAATGTGTTCTATGGTGGATATTGCAAGTATATGAGATGTATCCTAGCATGCCATAAGAAGAACATCTAATATCAAAAAATGAATTTATAATATATATGGGTTATGTTGCATCTTCCTAGGTTTGAATGATGCATGCTGTGGTGATGATTATATAACTGTGCAAGTATAGTGATGTTTTATTTTGTTTGAAATCTTTTAATTTAACTTGTAAAAAATATTTTGCATTATTAATAATTGAAATTTCAATTTCAATGCATGCTCCCTATTATCAACTTCATTTAAATATGCCTTTAATTCTTTAAATGAATTTTTTAAATCAATACGAGATACTTTTAAGGAATCATGCTTATTAGTTAAATAAAGATGCCTTTTTTTAATTCATTAAATGGGGGGGGGGTGATTGGTTATTTTAAAGATTTCTTAAGGTAAAAAGAAAATCTTTTTAAACCTTTTTTAATAATTTAAAACAAATAATTTTTTCCCATAATGTTGAAGCAAAACTACTTTCATAATAACTAAAATTAGAGTTTACAAATACATAACAAATCACAAAAAATATGGAAATAAAATATAGAAAAGTAAATAAAAAGAACACACCAGAATTATAGTGGTTTGATCAACTTGACATACATCCACTCCCCATAAATCTCATATCCAAGTATTACACTAAAAGTAGTATCTCTCCTTTTGCTCCCATAATAAGGTAGAGAAGCCAATATAAAATATTTTCATTGACCCGATGAGGCAGAGTACCTCGAATCCTTTTACTTCTTCTTCGAGTAGGCAGAGAACTTGGGAATCCTTTTTCACCCTCCTGGAGAAGGTAGATGGCACTAGTGTTATTTCATAAGATTTGAATGGTACGTACAAGTGATCCTAAATCTATTATTTGTTATTTTAACCAAAGGACTTGGCCCAAAAAATTTTCTAAGGCTTTATATTCAACTTCAATAGTGGACAATGCAATTGAGTTTTATTTTCTTCTAGACCACGATACTAAGGACTATCCTTTTAATTGATATATTCTAGAAGTGTTTTTTCTATCTACTCTATATCCTATGATTTCAAAGGAAGTGCTATGGCTAGAATACCAGATTCCTAACTTTTGGGTTCCTAAGAAATATCTAAGGATTCTCTTTGTAGTAAAATCTAACATAGAGACGAACACTAACATAATATTAGGTTTGCTAGCAGATAAGTAAAAAAGTGATCTAATTATTTCTTTTGATCAATAGAATTTCCATTTGAATACTTATCTAACTAAAAAGTGGAACTCTTTTTTTTTTGAAGCAAGCACCAAAATGCTATAAAAGGAAAAAAAACCGTTACATCTTAATACTATCTGATTCCTTCATTAACAGATTAATAAAGGAGTTCAGAATAGTACTACTACTCAAATCTTTCCAACAAAAGGAGCTAAAACAAGCATAGTTAGCACTAAGATCGGCTAACTTATTGTTTTCCCTATTAACAAAATTAAAGCCTTTAAGAAAAGTAAGATCAACATCAACAGTACCTCCTTTGTCCACCTTATCCTTGATGAAATTTATCACATTCTTGTTGTCACCTTCTATGATCAATCCTTTGTACTCCTTCATCCAATCGCTGATGTAGTCTTTAAAAAATAAAATAGCAAGAAGCTCCATTTGTCCAGAATCCCAATGAACACAATTTTTGCCGAAAGCCAACAAAAATTTCCCTCTATAATCTCTGCACACACCTCCTAATCCAGCTTTGTAAGAGTTATGAATAGAAGCATCGATATTCACTTTGATCCAATAAGGCGGAGGAGGATACCAATTATTGAACAACCTAGATGGTTGGTTAATACCCTCAATACCCGAGAAACTCCATAAGGAACTCTTGCTTACTGCAGTAAAACAAATAGCATTGGATGCAATATACAAAGGGCTTAAAGATTTCCTTTCATGAACCCACAGATTTCTGGATTTCCATGAATGGAACACCATATTACAATAAAGACTCTTCATCCAAGAATTTTGAATTTTAAGCCAATTTAAACAGTTTTCCAAAGAAGAAAAACTTGGAATTACAAAGCCCCAAGAGTTTAAAACTTCCACAGTTTTGATCAGATTTCCACAACCTGAAATAATATGTTATGTATTTTCTGATATTCCACATCCTCTAGGACAATTATCAAATTCTTGGAGCCTTCTATAGCATAAGAATTTGTTAGTAGGAATGGCTTCATTAAGTAGTCTCCACCAAAACAACCTTACTCTTGGAATAAGCTTAATTTTATCAAGCCAATTCCACAGATACCCATCAGCATAACAATTTTCTGAAACTTCACAAGCTACGGACGTCAGTAATTTACCAGAAAATTTGTGAATAAGCTCCATCCGATCTTCCTTGCTCTCGTTGAAATGAACATTTCTGATAATTTCCATAAGTTCTGCACCAAAGAATTTCTACAGCTCCTGCACATCCCATATTCCATCCTTAATGAAATCTTCCACCATATAATTATCTTCAAGCAAATAAAGAGTAAAAGTAGGCCATTTCAGTAAGCTTTTGTCATAGATCCATGTATCTTTAACAACATTTATTAAGTTCCCTTTACCAATTTCCCATCTGATGATTGGCTTTAAAAACTTTCCTCCATTCTTAATCAATTTATAAGCAGTAGAACCCGTTCTTCTTGAATAATCTTCCAACATTATATGACCATATTTAGGATATAAAACTTTATGCATAAGAGAATAAGTTGCATGATAATACCTCCATGTTAATTTTACTCTTAAAGGTCCTTCCTTCTTTGAGCAAGAATTGATCCCCATACCTCCCACTTTATTTGGTTTAGACAGAGTATCCCAGCTAATATAATGAAGACCTTTTTCCCGGTTCCCTTTACTCCAATTGAACTTCCTGCAAGCTTTCTCAATTTCCAACAGAATTCTTTTTGGTACTAAAGATAAGGTAGTATGAAACGTTGGTAATGCTAATAAAACAGAGTTGATTAAATTCAACTTCCCAGCCATTGACAAGAGTTTGCTTCCCCACATACCAATCTTCTTCAATTTATTAAAAAGTGGAACTCATGGGAGAGTTTATTAGCTTGGCTTTATCCATCTCAAATTTCTTAATAATGTCCTTAATATATTTTGATTGACTAAGAAAAATTCTATCACCCTTCTGCCTTATACTATATCTAAGAAAGTAGTTGAGTTCCCCCATCATACTAATCTAAAACTCCTTACTCATTATTTTTAAAAATTCATGACAAAGATTTTTATCAGAATATCCAAATAGAATATCATCAACATGATTTTAGACAATGAGTAGTTCATCTCCTACCTTTTTTAGAAATAGGGTGCTATTTATGCTCCCCTTAACAAAGGTTCTCTCTCATAGGAATGAGCTTAACCTTTCATTCCATGCTCTAGGTGCTTATTTTAGTCGATATAATACCCTTTTTTAATTTAAACTCATGATTAAGTAATTGTGAATTTTCAAAGCTTGGGGATTTTTCAATAAACACATTCTCTTTTCTTGCCTCATTTAAAAGGCACTTTTAACATCCATTTGGTATAATTTAAATCTCTTAAAATAGGAAAAGTCTAGTAATGACTTCTAATATAGCTATAGGGGTAAAGTTCTCCTCAAAGTTAATTCCTTCTATCTAGTTATACCCCTTATCCACTATTCTTGCTTTATTTCTAACCACAACACCATAATAATTCATTTTCTTTTTCAAAACCTATTCAATTCCAGCCACACTCTAGTTCTTAGGTCTTTTAACAAGTTCCAAAATATCATTCCTCACAAATTGATTTAACTCTTCTTGCATAACAAGGATCCAAAAGTCATCAAATAGAGCTTGATTTATACTGGTGGGTTCATTTATTGAGATAAAGTTAGAGTGGTTAACTTTTTTTTAAGACTGTGTTTTTTTTAACACCTTCAGATGGGTCTCTTAAGATTAATTCATTAAGATGACTTGAAGAATATCTCCATTCTCTAGGCAGTATATTTTTAGGTTCCACCATTTCCTTTATATTTATAGATTCTAATCCTTGGGTATTTTCTATAACCTCATCTTCTTCTACCCTAGACCCATCAAAATTATCAGATTAATCAAATACTACATGAGTGATCTCCACTACTGCTAGTGTTCTTTTATTAAAAACTCTATAAAATTTCCCAACATTTGAGTTACCTAGGATAACTCCTTCATTAGATTTAGGGTCAAACATTCCTAATAGAGATTTCCCATTATTTAAAATGAATATTTTATATCTAAAGACATGAAGGTGAGAGAGATTGAGTGTCCTACCCATAAGAATTTCATAGGGTGTCTTGTTTAAATTGGATCTAACATTAACCATATTCAGAACATGACATGTTGTATTCACCTCTTCTTCCCAAAAATATTTAGGAAGTGAGTATTTAGCTAACATGGATCTAGTGGCTTCTACCAGGGTCTTATTCTTTCTTTTAGCTATCCCATTCTACGAAGGGGTTCTAGAAGCTGAAAATTTATGATATATCTCTTGCTCTTATAGTAAGTTTCAAATTTCTCATTTTAAAATTCTCCACAATGATTGTTATGAATGGTTAGAGTTTCACAACCTAGCTTCCTCTGAATTCGAGTAGAGAATGATCTAAATTCCTTGAATTATTTGATTTTATAAGATAGGAATCCAACCTAAGTAAACCTCAAATAATCATCAACAATCATATACCCAAAGACTTTCCCTCCTTGGCTTGCAGAGCTGACAGGTCCAAAGAGATCCATATGAAGGACTTCTAAGGGTTTGCTAGTGTTAATGTCCTTAATTTAGTGGAAAGAGGATTTGACTTGCTTTCTTAACTGACATACATCACATAGGAGATCCTTAGTTAACTCTAGTTTGGGTATGCCTCTCACTAAGCCTTTTTTGGTTATTTTCTTATGATTTTTCTTGCTTGCATGACACAATCTCCTATGTCATAATTAGTATTCATCATCAATAATTTTTAGCCAAAAAGAAGTAGTAGGTTTAACATAGTTTAAATCAAGCATGTAAATATTATTAATTGTATTTCCTTGTAGCACAATGTTTCCATTTAAGCTAATTATGCAACTGGTAGACAAAAATTTAATGCTAAATCCTTTATCATAAAGCTGACTTATTATAAGCAGGTTATGTTTTAAGCCATCTACCAATAAAATATTTTCAATAATAAAATTTTTTGAGTTGCCAATTATACCTGATTCCACCACTCTCTTGGTGGTGTTATCTCCAAGTGGCACCTTGCCTCTTACCCTGACCTCTAGTGAAATGAATTGATTAATATCTCCAGTTATATGCCTTAAACATCTACTATCCAGTTATCACATACTCTAAAAAGGCCTTTTGTGAGATCAAACCTACAAAATCATCATATGTTAGATTTGGGTGCCTAAACAAGTTTGAGCCCCATCTTATGAAAGAAGAATGAAATGCATGCATATTATGCTATAAATTTTAAATTTTTGGTATCCAAACCAAATGTGTTCTACATTGAATGATGCAAATGTGAGAGATATATTCTAGCATGCCACAGGAGAAACATCTAAATCTAGGAAAATAATTTACTAAGCTATATGGGTTATGGTGCTTCTTCCTAGGTTTAAATGATGCTAGTTGTGGTGAAGACTTTTGAAATTCTTCAAATGAAAGTGGTTGTTTTTTATTCTCTAATGTAATGAATTTTGTTCTTATAAACTTGTTAGCTTTTTCATAGCTTGAAACTTCTAATTTTGATGCATGGTCACTATTGTCTAATTGACATGCAGGCATTTCTAAGACCTTGAATGCATTTTGCAATTCATCTTGTGAAATTTTCAAGGAATCAAGTTCAGTAGTTAAATCAAGATGTTTTTTATTTAAAGAATCAAATCCATCTAATAAAAGGCATGTGGTTACTATTTCAGAGTGCAATGATTTTTCCTTAGGCATTTATGCACTTTCTACAGAATTAAAAAGTCAGACTTAAGGTTGGTAAGTGATTTTTTAAGGTTCCTATATGTTGTATAATTTTTTTTAGAAACTTTAAATAATTAATCATAAGTAAGCTTACAAAACTCCTATTGATTAGAATGATCAAAATGTTCATCTACCATTAAGCATAGATTGGTTACCTCCTCTTTTGCTTTAGTTGTAGAAGAGTCTGATGTTGTGCCTGCCCAGAAAGCTTTTTGAGACCTTTGCTTACCCTTCATGAATTTAAGTTTTTCTTCACCCTCCTCTGTACTTGGGTGAGCTTTAAGAGTTGGGCAATTAGACATTATGTGCTCTAGTTTCCTATATTCAAAGCATATAACATCAGAAGAAATTTTAGAATTTTTACCATTCATACCTTTATTTTATTGTTGATGATATTTTTGCCTTTTTTTCTAAAAAGCCCTTGAATTTCTTAGTGAACACTACAATGTAATCATCATCTTGTCCTGAAAAGTTGTTAGAATCATTAGCTTTTAAGGCTGCAATTTTCTCTTTTTTATTTTCACCTACATCAAGCTGCCTTTGACTCACTCCTTTCTCGTAGGTAATGAGTGACGCAAGTAAGTTATCTATTGAATAAATAATCAGATCCTTAGATTTAGTAATAGTAATTATTTTTCTATCATAGGAAGAAGGTAAACAACATAAAATATTATTAACTTTCTCATAATTAGTAAGTTCTCTTGCTAAGACATGCATATTTTCAAAAAATAAAAAAGAATATTATCAAATAGAGGTGGTCGAGTGATTGAATATCCTTCCATAATATCACGATTACTAAGTTAGCCATAGTTCTTTTTCATAAGTTTTTTTAAAACATAATTTATGAATTCCTCTCTCATACCACTTAAAAGTTTGTGGAGGTTGTTAAACCATTATGAACTAGTCCGAGGCTAATCAAAATGGTGGTGAATTAGTTATTTAAAAAATTTCTTAAGGCAAAAATAAAATCTTTTTGAAATCTTTTTGAATATTAAAAAAAATTATCACACAATGCGAAAGAAATACTACTTTCATAATAACTTTAATAAAAGATTTTAAACACAGAACAAATCATAAGAAAATACAAAAATTAAATGTAGAAAAGTAAATAGAAATAACACACTAGAATTATAGTGGTTTGGTTAACTTGACCTACATTCACTCCTCGAAAACCTCCTTTCCTGGTATTGCACTAAAAGTTGTGTCTCTCCTTTTGCCTCAACTGTAAGTCGGAGTAGCCCTTACAAAATCTTTCCATCGACTTAGTGAGGTAGAGTATCTTGAATCCTTTTACTTCCTCTTAGAGTATGAAGAGTACTTGGGAATCCTTTTTAAACCTCTTAGTGAAGGAAAAGAACCTGTGAATCCTTTTTTACCCTCTTGATGAAGGCACAGAACTTAGATCTGATATTGATGAAAGTCTCACCCAATCCATAAAA